TTTGTATTCTTGGTTCTATCAGTACGGTTCAACGGCAAAATATCACTGAGCAACTCGACAAAACTGATCGATTCAGCAATCCATTTTCATCGATTAACCAATCTTTTCAATTTTTTAAACTGGTTTGAATTTTTCAAACTGGTTTGAAATTCCAGTTGATTTTTTTTGGTTTCGGGTTAATATTGGGAAAGGCTATAATTCAAGTACCTTGGGGTTAGGTTTAGGGTTAATATTGAGGACGGCTATAATTCAAGTTCCTTGGGGTTAGGTTTAGGGTTAATATTGGAAAAGGCTATAATTCTAGTACCTTGGGGTTAGGTTTAGGGTTAATATTTGGGAAGGCTATAATTCAAGTCTCTTTTGGTTACCTATAGTGACGACTATATCAAATTCAATTTGTGGAAGATTTTATTATATGATTTCACTGAACTTGCTTACAAGCATAATTAGACAATACGTGTTGATTATAATTTAAGATAACATTGGTTGCTGTGCAAGGATTAAGTCTAGATGGTGCAATTAGTCCTTTGATGTTACCAAATTGCATTACGACTTTAACAAAGTGACTTGTGCAATCAATCTATGTTATTTTTGCAATAAGCATATTAGCTTGTCTGCCTTATGTATTTGAATAGCAACAATGTCACCAACATTGAATTTGAATTTTCTTGCTCTCTGAGTTTCTTTTTTAWTTTTTTTGTTATATTTTTTCTGTGTTTCACTTATTTTTGGACACTTTTTGCCTTTCTTCGAAATACTGGTCTTGCACCTCTTGTTCAGTGCTATCTTCGGTTGGTTGAGGTTGTGTTGTGTTGCAGTGTGCACCTCACGATGGGTTTTAAAACCAAATACTGCCTCATATGGTGTGCATTTAATCGCCCTATGATAAGTGATGTTCATAGTGTAAGAGGCTACCATTGTGTTTTTGCACCATTCATCAACATTTCTTTGGTTTGAAAGTAGTATTGCTCTCATGTCTTCCTTCCACGTGCGGTTGCTTCGTTCTACTAGACCTTGTGTAGTCGGTGTTTGTGGAGATCCATGGCTAATGGCAATATTATTTTCTTCACAGAAAGTGTCCAACACATTATTTGAAAACTCGCCTTCATTGTCACACACAATTTTCATGGTGGTCAACTGATCGGACGATGACCCAAAACAATGTGCATTTTCCTCCAAAATGTCCAGTTTTGGGCTTCTCAGCCACTTTTATGTACTTTTATGTCAGGCTGTCCAGTTGGCGTTTGATGTGTCAGGTGCTGCAAAGCTATAAGATTTTAAAAAAGTAGGGAACAATTCAATTTCTCCTGATTGTAAACACTTGAGAAGATGGGGTCTCATTCGTGGAATGTCAAATTGTACAGTTTCTGGCGGTATACCATGCAAAAGACATGCAGCAAATGCTGATGCAAAAACCCCACAATCGCTWCCATCCGTTTGTTGTTGAACTGGAATAATTTGTAGTCCAGAATAGTTGTTTTGTCCAACGAAATTGATCACTTGTTCCTCTACTCATTTTCTTATGACATTACGATATTGGCTGTCATAAATTTATTAAACCACTTTTTGCACCATCAGAACTAACAGTTACCCAGTGGTCATTTCCTGTATGTAGTATTTGTATGAACTCACCATTAACTCTATTGAAGCGTCGTGCATGTCCAAATATTGGCCACTGTAAACCTTGCATTGTAGGATCTATTTCTTTTAGATTAATGTGAACCTCTTGTTTGATGTCAGAATCCAGCCAACCCAAAGGGTCAGTTATTAAATCGTAGTGACTTTGTGTCAGATTTCCCTTTTGCTYAAATGTAGATGTTTTTGGATATATTTGTTGGCCCCTTTTTCTCTRAACCAGTTTCCTGTTTTTTCTTGCTTTGTTTAGAGGCATTCACACAGTCTGGACATTGCCAGGTATTCTTTGYATTGCTTGGCTTTCTTTTGTGACACTCTATAAGTCGGTCTGATTGCAGCGCTTTTTCTTTGCATATACAAATGGAGTCTAGTTTAATAGCTTTCTTAACAATGTCATCTTTCATAATTAACTTCCTGTTGCTTAGCAGCCTTCTGGCAAAGAGGACAAAATCAGGTTTTTGGCACTTTAGAAAGCTTAAGACAGGACATGTTGCTGCCCCTACAAAAACATACTGCTTTGGAATCAGGTTTGGTTTGAGTCAAATTACGCTTTTGTGTCTACCATCGCCCAAGAATCTCTGGTAACACACAGAATCTCCAAAATTGGTTTAATTTGGGCAATACAGCGTTCCAGTGTTCAGTACATGGTTCAATTCGTTCACAGAACAGCTGAATTTCATCCTGAATACTGCACACAACAAAATCACAATATTTCAGTTCTGTTGTAAATAGTTGCTGCTGCACCTGATAAAAATACTGATGATCTCTTTTAAGAGAAAAATTGGCATTCTTTCTTGTTAAACAGGTGCTTTTACAYTCCAAGTACTCCTCAAAAGTTGTATTTGTGAGGCAGTAGGGACACTTAACTTAGTTTAGATGTTCCTACTTTTAGAAMGAAACGAATGTGCATATTCGGAATTTAGAATTTAGCACAACTGGTTTTGTTTTGCATGTATTGAGCTTGGAATAAAAATCTTTCATCTCATCGACAGATGGAGCTGCGATCTCTTGTTTTGCTGTATGTTTTCTTGAGACTGGCGTCTCTTTGTTGATTGCAGTGCCAGTGTTCAGTGTTTCAATCGATTTATCAAGCTTTTGTTTTTGATTTGATGCAGAACTAAAGTCGATGTCCTCTACCTCACAATAACTTATATCTTTTTTAAAAGATGGTAAGATCCACTCGCAAGGCTTTCCTGTGCAGGATACATTCTCTTTATACCTGTTGTAGGTTTCAATATAAAACAAAATGCTTGCGATATGTGAACAGCATTCACGTTGGCCTGCCATACATCCGCGACAATGTGCGGTCCTAATGGTCCCATCGCTTTCTGTTATTATCCACAAAGGAACACATGGATCGTTCATTTTTTGTGAATGGCGTACTTTTCCTATTGCAACATGCTTTCCAGCGATAATATGACCTTGAACACACTGAATAAATCCTAAAACCATCTGATTGTAAGCTTGTAGACTTCGAAAGGCTTTAAATTGTTTTTGCATGTAGTGACTGGTCTCTAATACTAAATATGAGACTAAATCCATAGATTCTAYGTGAGGTAGGCATTCTGGATCGAAGTTATTCTCGGGAATTATGTTTGTTTGCGTAATATCCGTGTTTCGCGGGAAGCTGATCAGCCATGACAACTTGATAAATCCCTGTAAACTACTCGAGTTTTC